CAATTCAGACTAGAGTTGCATTCGGGCCCAAAAAATCCGACCCGGCCCACAGTCATCATTTCCGAACCCCACTCGATCTGACAAATTAACAGTAGTTACAGGTCCAAACCCAGAAGCCCCTCAACATTTTAAATTAGTTATTAATGGGGCAGAAGATCAGAGCTGAGGGGGTGTTTGTCTTTTCATGGCTGTAAAAGAGCATTGAAACCGTGGTTCTGCTGCATTCTGATTTATTCAGACACAAACCCTGCTCTGACATGTTTACTTTGGGATCTCACATGTTTGGGTCTTCGGCCGCGTGCGTCCACTGAGCACAGCGGCTGAATGAACGTCTTATTTGGGCGACGGATCGCTTCCTGGCAGTACAGTCCCATCTGAAGCTTAACTGAACTTTTTACCTCTTTCAAGGCCGCTCAGCTCGTGGTGAAATGGCTGCATGTGTCTGGTGAAGGTATGGCAGGCCATGTTATCATACAATTGGATCACGGCTGATCCTGACCCAATTAAAAGCCCGACACCGGCTCTCCCATCCAGCACATTATCATGGTCCATGGTGGGGTCGGGCTTAGGGCTCGGGTTAGAGATGACAGCTCTAATTGAGACGCGTGAAGCTCAACTTTCCCTGACTTTGAATGTTTCTGCTGTGAAAGATTCTGAGCTGTAGAGCTCCAAACACAGCTGGGTTTTCTCAGCTGTCCCATTGAGCTCCGTGGGTTTTTTCTCTTGCAGTTTTGCTTTACAAAATGTTTGTTTGTCTGACATACTGAACATGGAAACATTGTTCCTAATCACTTATGACTTATAATCTGCAGGATTTTTTACTGAGCAACAAGAAACAAAACAAAATGTTTTACTAGAATAGTAATACGGGTGTTTGAATGCAAGCTTTGAACATCTCTTTTTTTATATTTATGTAAAGTCCATAGTTGAATCAATAACCACACTGACAAACATATTTCTGGTTGATTAAATCTGTCTCTTGTCTTTTTTCCATATTTTATTCATTTATTTATTTTAGCTCATGTGGCCTATTACTGTGGTTGGACCATAGCAGTTCAGAAGCAGTGGCAACAGGAGGGATGAGGATCCAGCTGAAGGGTCCCGGTCACGCAGCCAACCTGCTTGCTGATCTCAACCGCTGCCGCCAAATGCGTCAGTACTGTGATGTGTTCCTGCAGGTCGGCAGCCGGACCTTTGCTGCACACCGTGCAGTTTTGGCCTGCTCAGGGACGTACTTCCACACCCTTTTCACTCGTCCCCCAGCTACAGCCTCTGCTTATTTTACACTGGAATTTATTTCCCCGCTCAACTTTGAGAAGGTGCTGACGTTCATCTACACGGGAGAGATTTTGATTGACCTCATAGATGTGGGCGTGCTGTATGAGCTGGCTGAGAGGCTCGGCATCAGTGAACTGATGAGCGCCTGCCACACCACCTTTCCTGACCTGCAGGCATCTGTGTCTGCAAAAGTAGGCAGCAGCAGGGACTTTCCCATGGACCCCGACATGGTCAGTGCTGCATCTGAAGTGACAGCCATCACTGCACCCTCAGTGTGTTCCTCCTCTGCATCTTGCTCCTCTCTGTCGTCTTCAGCCGGTCCGTCCGCTGCCCCAACTCCCTCCGCTGCTTCCTCACCTCTTTTCCAAGTCAGAACAACTAGAACCGAGCGTAAAGTTCATACAATGGCTCCATCTCCAGACCTGAAGACTGAAGACGTCCAGTCCCACATCAGCTGTGGGCAGATAGCAGCTAATGTTCAGCTACAACAATCTCCTCTTTTACCAAGCAGCAGCGTTTCTAATCAGATGGAGAACGTACTGCCTCCAGGCCCGGTGCTCCATCTGAAGTCTGAACCAGACCTTGTAGTTGGGGGGGCAACCGGCGGGGGTGAAAATTGTGTGACACACAGTGAAGTGATTTCTGAGGGCGCAGTTTGCTCTCTTCTTAGGAGCAGCAATCCTGCACTGTCCGACTCGTCCTCCCTCCCGGACTCGTCTGCTGTTGAGGCCTGCGCCCCATCGCCGTCCTCTGAAAGCCTGCAGGTGGTGTTAGTGGAGGGAGCCACCACCCTCATGTTGGGCAAGGTGGAGACAGAACCGACTAAAAATGACCGGGAGGTTCTGCAAGGGAACTTAGCAATGACAGAAGCTGAAGAGGACTTCCCTCCATGGAGGCAAATTGTTGGAGAGATTATTGAGCTGAGCGATGATGAGACCTACATGGAGGAAGGAGAAGATGAGGATGATGAAGATGAGCTTGTGTGTGTGGAGAATGGTGATCGAGGAGAAGCAGGAAATATGAGCCAGGTAATCACTGTGTTTCTGGAGTTCAGCTTCAAATCTGAAATAAGTTGGGGTGTTGTGTAAAAGCAGACATAACCACAATGCAATGATTTGCATAATTTCTTCACAGTGGAACATAAGAAACTTGTCAAATGTGTAAACTAAGAAATGTCACCATATTCAGAAAAATACTTGTGTACCATTATTTGATCTTTACAGACTGTTGCTAAAAAGAGGGGATTCTTCAAAGTGGTAAACACGGCCCTGCCCTAACTTATGAAATGTTTTGTTGCCATCAAATTCAAATTGATCTTGTTTTGTTATTTTATTTTTTTAAGAATTGTAATTTTTAAAATAAAGCATCGGATGTTTACTATGTTCCTTTGTGAATAAAACGTGAGATTTACAAATCAGTGCATTCAGTTAGTATTTACATCCAAGAAGTTCAAGACAACAACAACTGGACTTTAGTTTCATCAGAAGA